GATTGAAGGCGTGCGCTACCATGCCTGGCCCATATCAAAGTTTTTAAAATAGATAAATCTTACAATTCAATAAGATGACAACTTCATTTTAAAACTAAGCAAACATGTTTAAATTTTTTATTTATTTATTTTTATTTTATGTGTATGAGCATTTCACCTGTATGTATATGAGTGCACCATGCATATGCAATGTCCACTGACACTAGAAGAGGGCATCAGATCTCCTAGAACTGAACAGTTGTTAGCTGCCACATGGGTGCTGGGAACCAAACCCAGGTCCTTTGTAAGAGCAGCCAGTGCTTAAATGCTGAGTCATCTGTCCAGTCCCTAAGCAAAATACTTTAATAGACATTTCATCCCCAAAAGACATAGATGATTAACAAACACAAAAATTTTCAAAATCATTAATAATTAGGAAGGTACAAATTTGCACAATGAAAGCTAGACTTCTTGGCACATGCCTGTAATCCCGGCATGAGTGAGGCAGAAGTGGAAGAATGCTACACGTTTAAGGCTAGTCTATGCTACACAGCAGGTTTCAGGCTACTCAGAGCTATGTAGCAAGTCCCTGTCTCAAACAAACAAATAACCCCACGATGATACTACTAAGCATCAACTAGCATGGCTAAAATATACGATAGATAATATCAAGTGTTGGTAAGGATGCGGAGAAACTGGAACCCTTGTTCACTGCTGGTTGGAATGTACAATTGGGCAGCCACTTTGGAGTAAAATTTGGTGATTTCTTTAAAAAGCTAAACATAAACTAAGCATCCAATTCCCAAATTTCACTCCTAGGAATCTATAAAGGAAAATTTAAAAAACATGTTCTCAGAAAGACAGTATACAAAGAAAGCAGCATTACTCATAAAAGCCTCAAATTTGATTTTTTTCATTTAGTTATTTATTTGTTGAAGAAGGAGGGCATGTATGTGCCATGATGTGCTGGTGTGAGGTCAATTTACAGGAATTGGTTCTCTCCTTCACCATGTAGGTTCCAGGGATCAAACTCAGGTTGTTATGTTTGGCAGCAAACACCTTTACTCACTGAGCCATCTCACTGGCCCCAAAACCCTCAAATTTGAAACAATCCAAATGTCGAAACTGGCAGACAGATAAATGATGATATGCCCCTGAAAAGGAATACCACCCAGCAATAGAAAGTAATAAGTAACTAAAATGTGAAAATGCACTGAAGTGCTTCAAAAACACAACGCGTGAAAGAACCAGATGTAAACACTATGTATTATATGATCACATTTAGACAGCAAAGATTTATAAAATAAATCCATAGAAACAGAAAGCAGCTTTATGGATTTTGAGGCTGAAGCTGGGAGTAGGGCATAACTGCAAATGGACTA